CTCTCTCTCTCTCTCTCTCTCTCACACACACACACACACACACACACACAGACACCCCATTCTTCTGCAACTTACCAAACATTAAAAGAAATGTGCACTTAAAACTCACAATCGTTACAGGATGGTTAAAGGGAAGGGCAGTCCTTTTGCTTAACACACTGTCGGGCACCCGTTCTTTGTTTGAAAGGGATCGAGCTGCCTTAGCGCCCCCGTCGTGGCAGCAGGGTGGCAGATAGCCTTTAAATGCCCACTCTCTCCACATGGAAATAGGGGGCACCCTTAGGAATTTCTGCGCAAATGCAGAGTTAATAAATGCAGCAGAACGCTTGTATTAGCTTTTCAGCAAAGCAACTTTTGCTCATGAGGGAGGGTAAACCGGAAGTTGGAAGTAAGGGAACAGTACAGGAAAAACCATCCTCTATAGCTACTCTCTAACCTACATCTTTTTCTTAGAGGCTTCTTATACCCCAGGTGAGGACAAACTAGAGAAGGAGGAGAAAGAGCAATACACCTGAAACCCCATGCTTACTCTCTGGTCCGCCTCCGAAGTATTGATTGCCCAGTTGGAGAATCCCATTGCTAACCGATTATGCATTTTGTCACCTTGCTCTAGCAGCAACTAAGGGCAGGCTTCCCCACTGGGGTCCCTAGCTTTAAACTAGCTAGGACATCCGCAGGCATAAACCAAACACTAAATTCTGTCACGACTACAGAGAGAGACCTTGCAAATGCCGACAGGTACTTGGTGGGTAGGCAGCCTGGTTCCTATCGCCTGGCCCTCTAGCCTGGTATGCCGCTCTATGGCAAGTACCCATCGACCCCTCCCATGGTTTCTGTTGTGATAAACATGGGGCCTGTGCAGCCGAGCGACGGAGCTCTCGTGATGACGTTCAGCCGGCACAGCCCGTGGACTTCTGAGCAAAAGCGTTGGAAGCAGGCGTTGCAATTGGAGCGCAGGAAATACAGCTTCCCTAGATTCTGTGCCTCGGTGTTGCGACAGCAGGTGCCAAGGCTGAGTCGCTCTCTTCCTCCGTCCCCTCTAGGAGGAGCGCGAGAAGCGCCGTCTGGAGCAGCTCAGTCGGAAGAAAGAGCTTCAGCGCCTGCTGGAGGAGGAGGATGCCACGATGAAGGGGAAGTCGCCCAAGCAGCTAGTCCCCAGTAAGGTCACCAGAGCCCAGATCGACGAGTCGCTCCGGAAAGACCAGAAGGAGAACGGGGACGACGGTGAGCTCTCTGTGTTCTTGGAATTCCCAATGGGCTCGACTGCAAAGGCAGGAAGAGACACCCGCTGACCCATAGCTACAGTGGGGCGAGTGGGGGCTCTGCCCCCTTCCTTAAAGGGCTGGCCCCACAAGATTTTTTTAGAAGAGTGGGAGGGGCCATGCGCACGGGCCCCCTGCGTCTTCTCAAAAGCATTTAAAGGGATCCTTTATATGCTTTCGAGAAGAAGCGGGGGATGGCATGCACCCCTCTCCCTCCAGCTGATCAGCGGTCCACGTGCGCCCCACCATTCAGCTGAAGGGCCGTTTAAATCTTGCAGGAGGGGAGGGAGAGGGGTGGCCGCCGGCAGTCGGGCTTGGGGGCGAAACCCTCGCTACGGGCCTGCCGCCCCGAGTCTTGCAGCAGGCGCCACAGGCCGCGCAAAATCTTCCAGCTGCTTTCCTCCGGCCTTTGCTCCAGGGTGCTAAGAGAAGTCTCCACCCGAGCCCCTGGAATCTTCCCCCACACAAGTCTCTCTCCATATTTAAAATAGCTTACTGTCCCCAGCAATCGCTGCACATTTATGCTAGGTCGACTGAATGCTTTGCCTGCAGCCAGATTGAAGGTGCGCCTGGCTAGAGTTCCATTCTCTGGGCGCCTCTGACGTGCTTCTGGCATGGTTGAGATCACTGGCCATGTTTTGTTGTTCCGTGACCAATGGACTTCATGGCGAGAACTTTGGGTGGTGATGTTCCGTCATGGGAGACCTCGAAGACCAAATAATCTGGTGGACTCATCTCCTCCAGGAGATGTCCTGGAATTGTACCAAGATCTACCTTGAACAATCAGTAAGCCAGTGAAGTTCCCGGATACCCACCTGTTTCGTTGTTTTGTTAAGTTCTGCGCCCTCCCACCATATGGTAAATTGCCATCAGGGATTTTATTCTGGTTTTATTTTTATTAACTGTATTGGATTTTAAAATTTGCATTTTGTTTTATGCCTCTCTTGTAGCGGTTAAGTGCGCGGACTCTAATCTGGGAGAACCGGGTTTGATTCCCCACTCCTCCACTTGCACCTGGCGGGATGGCCTTGGGCAAGCCGTAGTTCTGATAAGAGCTGCCCTTGAAAAAGAGCCGTTTCTGTCAAGAGCTCTCTCAGCCCCACCTGCCTCACAGGCAATGCTCCCTCGAAGCTGTGGAGTTTTGTGAGCAAAAACTCTACTTTGTGAGCCACTGGCATTAAAGTTGTGAGTGAGCGGTTTGGCTCCTGCATAAATTAGCTTGCTCTGGAGCCCTCCTTCCTGAGCCAAGACAAAAATGTGTGAGATGGAGGCTAAAAAAACTGTGAGCTAGCTCACATTAACTCAGCTTAGAGGGAACACTGCTCACTGGGTGTCTGTTGTGGGGAGGGGAAGGAGTTTGTAAGCCGCTCTGAGACACCTTTGGGTAGTGAAGGGCAGGGTATAAATCCAGTCTCTTCTTCCTCTTCTTGTACAACACCTAGAAATCGGCATAAGCTGGGATAGGGTGATTGATAAATCAAAATAATAATAATAACAATAGTTTTGAGTAAGGACCAACTTGCCAATGGGCCTCAAGCCGTGTCCGTCGTGTTGGCTGTCGTCAGTCCTGCAGTTACGCGATCTGCGGCCCAATTCTGGTCCATTATAGTATCTTTGAGACGCTCCGCTGCGAAGTATTGACGTTACAATCTCACTCTTGTGGTAGCGGCATAATTTACTTTTATCATCGTTCTGTGACCGTTATTGATGTTTGCTCCGTGATTTTATTGCATGGCTCAAGACCTCCGGTCGAAGGAGCTTACCATCGATAAAGGGAAAGTATTTGGCCGGTGACCATGTGCATTGGCTTAAATAAGCCTCTCTCAGGTGACCCCTGGTGCCTTGCCTTGAGAAATAGCAACCTAAGATGCTTGCCCAGAGCCAGGGAGTTTGGACAGGAGCAGAAATTGGATCGTTCATATGACTGGATGCTGGTGACGGGATCTGGTCCCCGGGTATGCTTGGAGAGCAGCCTACGTAGTCCGGCTTAGCCCGAACTCTTTGGAAGCTGATCAGGGTTGACCACATCAACCCTGTGCTTGGATGGGAGACCACCAAGAAAGGCTGTGGTCGCTATGCAGAGGAAGGCCATGGCAAACCACCTCTGCTCATCTCTTGCCTGGATGCCCTGTAGATGGGGTTGCCTTGAGTCAGTTAATGAACATAAGAACATAAGAGAAGCCAATGTTGGCTCAAGCCAATGGCCCATCCAGTCCAACACTCTGTCACACAGTGGCCAAAAACACCAGGTGCCATCAGGAGGTCCAGCAGTGGGGCCAGGACACTAGAAGCCCTCCCACTGTTGCCCCCAAGCACCAAGAATACAGAGCATCACTTGCCCCAGATTGAGAGTTCCTTGTGGCTAATAGCCACTGATGGACCTCTGCTCCATCTGCTTATCTAATTCCCTCCTGAAGCCGTCCATGCTTGTAGCCATCACCACCTCCTGTGGCAGTGAATCCCACGTGTTCATCACTCTTTGGGTGAAGAAGGACTTCCTTTTATCCATTCTAACCCGACCGCTCAGCAATTTCATGGAGTGCCCACGTGTTCTTGCATTGTGAGAAAGGGAGAAAAGTACCTCTTTCTTTACCTGCTCTATCCCATGCATAGTCTTATAAACCTCGATCATGTCACCCCTCAGCCGTCGTTTCTCCAAGCTAAAGAGACCCAACCTTCATAGGGAAAGTTGCACCAGCTCAGCAGTACTTTTCTTTCCGGTCTAACCTAGACGGCCCAGGCTAGCCCAATCTTATCCAGTCTCAGAAGCCCTGGTTAGTACTTGGGTGGGAGACGGCCGAGGAAGCCCAGGGTCGCTACGCAGAGGCAGGCCATGGCCAACCACCTCTGAACGTCTCTTGCCTTGGAAAGCCCCACGGGATCACCAGCTGGATAGCAAAAGAAAGCGAAAAATGTTTGGCGAGCGCGTGACCAGAGAACCCTTCCTAGAGCTCTGTGGTTTGCCAGTGCCTGAAAAGAAGACGTCTTGGGGAATCTCCCACGAATAGCCTCTTGGGTTCCCAGAAGATAAGGTAGAAATATTTAATCTTTTAAAAAATGAACTCATAGCCACAAGATGTCGTGGCAGTCCCTGGCTTGGTGGTGGAAAGGGCCGTCACGTCATAGCCAACTCCGTGGTGACCTGTAGGGTTTTCAAGGCAAAAGGCCCTTTTTTCCAGAGGTGATTTGCCATTGCCTGTCTCTGCATAGTAACTGTTATGTATTACCTTATGGAGATAGCCTCAGGGCTTTTTTTGTAGAAAAAGCCCAGCAGAAACTCATTAGCATAATTGGCCACACCCAACAGCAGAAACTCATTAGCATATTAGGCCACACCCCTGACAGCACAGCTCATTAGCCCATTAGGCTGCACCTCCATGTTACCAGAAGTATTCTGTTTACCTTATTTGTTGTCAAAACCCAGGGCCTTTTTTGGGAGCAGGAACTCCTTTGCATGTTAGGCCACACACCCCTAATGTAGCCAATCCAAATGAGTTCCTGCTGTTGGGTGTGGCCGATTATGCTAATAGGTTCCTGCTGGGCGTGGCCAACTCAGCAGCCAGCCGGAACTCCGTTCCTGTGCGTTCCTGCCCAAAAATAGCCCTGCATAGCCTGAATGGAGAATGAGCCTGAGCTTCAGTCTCAAGCTCCATAGACTCCAAGTATCCTAAAATCAACAACCTGATTGGCTGATGTTGTGGAACGGACGAATCAAGAAAGACGATGACTTTTGGCGGGATAAAACCCTGTTGGCCTTAAGCGCTCACTCATGATTGGACTTTAGTATTCTAGGGGTGTGGTTTAGCTAGTTCCAAATTGTATATAAGTTGGGATTGTCCTGTGTGTGTCGTCGTGTTCTGAGCTGAATAAAGAAATCACTTTGAGAAAAGCTGCCTCAAGCCCGGTGTATAATAGCAACCCTGGACTTCCCATCCAAGGACTAACCAGGGCCGACCCTGCTTAGCTTCCAAGATCAGGGACCCACTGGCTTGACCTTCAAAAGGAGTTTAAAAACCTTCATGGAGAAGAAGAGGTCCATGGGTGTCTATGTTAGCTTAATGAACCCCCAGCTTCAGAGGAAGACTGTCTTATGTACCCACTGTTGTGGCATAAAAAACACGAGACGCCTCGTGGTCTTCCCCGTTGTGGCATCCGGTTGACTTCTGCAGGACGCCCAACTAGAAGAAGAAGAGATTAGATTTATACCCCGCCCTTCACTGCCCGAAGGAGTCTCAGAGCGGCTTACAATCTCTTTCCTCCCCACAACAGACACCCTGTGAGACAGGTGGGGCTGAGAGAGCCCTTTCGAGGTCTGCCCTTGAGAGAACAGCTCTGAGAGAACTCGCGGCTGACCCAAGGTCACACCAGTAGCTGCATGTGTGTGGCAGAGCGGGGAATCAAACCCGGTTCTCCCGGATCAGAGTCCCCGCTCCCAACCACTACACCAAACGGGCTCTCCGGATGAAGGCATCGCAGTCTGATCCTAGTGCGGCTTTTCTTACACAGACAGGCTGCAGTGTGAAGGAGTGCTGAAATGCTTTATTTCTTCTCCCCCCCCCCCAGAGGAAAAACAGAAGAGCCACCTTGATGTGCCCTTGGAGGAGAACATCAACAGGAGGGTGCTGGATGAAGGAGCCGTGGAGGCCCGGACCATAGAAGACGCGATCGCCGTGCTCAGGTACTCCCAGCAAGGCTGGTTGCTGCTTCACCAAGTGGGGGGGGGGACACCCGGAAGTGATGTCATCACGCCGGACATGTCACCGGGCGACACTCTAGCAATCAGCCCGAAAACTCTATGGTACCATAGAGTTCTCAGGCTGATTGCTAGAGCGTTGCCCAGTGACGTGCCCAGTGTGATGATGTCACTTCTGGGTGATGTCGTCACGGCGCGCACTATGCGTGCGCGTGAACCTCCCAGAGAGAAGCCAATGCTCCCCCACTGCTCCACGGAAACGACTTGGCAACCCTAGGAGAGACGGTTTGCCATTTCAGACTGCACCGCTTTTCCCCCCATTTTTCGCCTGCGTGGGTGATCTCCGGCTTTTTTTTAAACGTTCGATTAGAGCACTAAAGCGCTATAACACAACACTCCAGGCATTCCAATGGGGTTGCTATAATGCTGTTTTGCTGTTGTGTCATAGCGCTATAGCGCTGTAAAGCGAACGTTTTTAAAAATGCCGGAGATCACCCGCACGGGTGAAAAACGGTGGGGAAAAGCGTTTCGGATCCGGGAGAAGAAACTGAAGACTACCTGGAAGTGGTTTACAGGTAAAACGGTTCAGCCCCATTTCCTGAACGGGACAGAAGCGTTTGTGTGTGGAAGTACAAATATATTCTGGTAGGGAACCAGTTCTAAAACGGTTCTGTCTGAAATGTCAGACCAGAAACCATTTGGGAACCATTCCTGAACCAGAATATATCGCCTGTCTGAAATTCCTCACCGTTTGTCCTGCTGTGTGGCTTCACATTCAGAAGTGCATCATTCACCGGAGGCCTCTGAAGCCTGGGTTTTTAATTTTATTTCTTTACTAGTCCACTACTCGTGCTTCGCTACGGTATTTAAGTTCCGTAAATCCAGTTATAATACTGATGATGTGAAGTTTGAAATGTGACATTTGTCGTAGGAATCTAATGGAGAAGATTGTAGTGTAGGAAATGAAGTGAGACATACGTACTTTTTTCTCTCTCTACCAAAGGACCTCTCTCTAGACCACATTGGTGGTTCTGCCCTCAGGTGCCAGGATCACCAGGCTGCTTGATGAGCTCACTCTGGAGCAGGCCACATAGAACTGTCCATTTAAGAAGCAGTCGTCTGTTAAGTCCGCTCCTGCTACCTTCCACAAAAGTGATGGCCTCTCTACTAGTGTGCCTAGATTGTTTTGCTCATATGGAGACTGTGTTGTTCTGAGCACCTCAGGGTGATCTTGCTGGTACTTGGCCTGTGCAGCTCAGTGCACTGCAGGAGTACTATGAGCAAATGTCTTTGCCGCATTCCTAAGTTGCCTCCTCCTTGTAGCGTTGGTGTATCTGGCTCGACGTTTGCCAGGAGCTTTCTTGGGGGCAGTAAGAGGTGAGATGTGTGAGGGGGAGTTGGTGTGAAGGAGTGGTGATGTGGTGGACATTTCTTCAGGTTCATGAGGGAGGCACGCATCGAAATGGCTCCTAGAAATGTCCTTTACTATCTCCCCATAAACATTCATACCCTGGCCCTGCTCCTACACCTGACAGACACTGGTCTGTCTGGTGTTGGGGGGGGATTGTGTTTAAAGGCATCGGGGAGGCTGGGCCAGCAGCAGTGCTAAGGCAGTCCTG